TGTTTCGTTGGTGGCAGTACCCCATGAATTCAGGCTTGTTTTCAAGTATATGTATTTTTCTACATCCAGAATCCTTGTACTTGGCCTCATAGAAAACACCAACACACTCAGGTATTTGTGTTCATATTGACAACCCATTCGGGGTAAAGTAAAAGGGATATAAAGTGCTCTGAAAATGGCCTGCTGTACATCACCATTGGAATTCAAGTGCTTCTCTTTTGAACAAAGAAATTTTTTGTAGATTTTTACCAGTCAATTCCTATCCATCCTTTAGAAAACAGGGATGGGATACCCTGTTCAGTAAAGTGGAAACAACAGTGGAATAAAAAACTAACAGTGAATATTCTTACAGCTCAAAAAATTTCAGACAAAAATTTAACCTTGTACGTAATTTTCACTAAAGCCCTTGTACCACTAAGAATATGCCACATACAAATCTTGACATGACTTCACTAATTCCAGATCTTTTTGGTGGACCAGTTCATATTTTGATACGTTTTCCATTTCTGTCAATATGGACAGCATCTAGAATTCTTGGTATCCATTAATTTTATGCCATTCAAAAGGCAGTGCAACATGCTTCCTACGAACAAGTTTTCAAGTTCAAATCCTGAAACTGAACTGTAATGAAAAGATTAAAAGATGCTATGGATTTTCAATTTTCCACTGATAGTCACAAAGAAACAGTGAATTTGTATTTTTTGCGCTTTTTTCAACACTATGATTTCCAATTTGATTTGCTATCCCTTTTACATGCTTCAATCATCTTTAATATACAAGAGACACAGGAGAAGATAAGAGATATATAACCTTGCTTGAATATATACCAAAGGTGATTGTAAGGTAGGGATGAGATTACAATTTCTACACTAACTACAGCTGATCTACGGGATTCTAAATAAAACATGTTACAAGCAAAACAAATATAATGAATGAGAAAAACGAACTCAGGAAAAATGAGAAAAAGATTGTGCGATTGGAAAGATCACTACACTACTTTATTATCAGCACATGCCTACATATTGATGATCTGTGTCAATATCCACCCCAAGGAATGTGAATGTGATGTCAGAAACCATCTTTTGTAGAGTACCTCATGACTCCTCCCCTTTTTGCTTCCTGGACTTTACATGAGGCTGAAAGTAAATCTGAACCACCACAGTCATCCTAGTTATGCTTGGTCAAGATGCTAGCCATCGGATGAATTCCCATACTGAAGTTGAGTTTCTCTAGGTTGGGGATCAGATGGCACTTGACGAACAAATTGTCCTTTAACTCGAGGACGTTGCTCTGCCAGCTTCTTTCTGCTCTCGTACCGAACCTGTGGATGAGAATTGGTATGTTAAGTATATGCCACACACAAGTTGCACAAGCCACATAAAAATTTTCACTCTAAATTTTATTTGGCAATTGAGCAAAGGAACAACAGTTCTTAATAATTATGAAAACCATACTTCCATAGATATGTTTTAATAGATCATAACAAAGGTAGATTCTAATAGGGAAAATAACACAGGAAGTAATCATAAAAGGATGACTAAGTTGATTAGAAAACCCATACCTTTTTCTCATAACATCTATCTTTGCGCTTCAAGCGAAACTTGGTTAGAGCTGCTTCTCTCTGTATAGATCGGTGAGAGGTTCCATTGGGACTGAGAAGACCATCTTCCTTCTTCCTCTCTACAGAAGCATTGACAACAGCAACCTGATTGACATCGCCATTACTAGAGCAAGAATTCCCATATCCAATACCATTAATATGAGCTCTAACCCCATTACATAAACTGCTACTTGCACTCTGATCAGTGGCAGGAGAGATATGCCCTCTGTCCTCAAAAGAATCCAATCTATCCAGCTTGTGCATACTTTGGTTGGTTGAATGATTAGCATTGGGGGCAAGTCGGTCATATAATTGTTGAGACTTATTAAATAGATTGACACGAAAGGCATGTTCCTGCTGGTTTGAGGATCCTGGACTTGGCACAGGAGACACACTTGATTGTGCACAAAAGATTGGAGGAGGAACAGAATTGTAGCCAGCACAGAGGTTACTCATCCGTATACCCTTCACTTGAACTGGGGCAGGAAATAATCTCTGCTGAGAGCATGAAGCAGTTATTTCGGAGTGTTTGGTTTGGCCAATAGCCAGAGAGATGGTGCTTGGAGTAGTTAGTGTTGGACTTGGAGTATCTGAGTTATTACCATTAATAACAATGGACAAACTTTTCTCAGAATTAATTCCAAGTTCTTTCTTTTGATTACTGATACTATTCAATGAATCCACTTGGTGTGATGGCCTGCCAGCGTACCTGCATCAAGTATCATTTAAAGGATCAGCAATCATAAGGTACTTGCAAAAAAAGAACAAACTGCAAATCTATTTAATCATTCATCAGGAGGTCCCTGCACGTTTATATCTTAAAGCACCTCATAGATACACTTGTATATCTGCATATACTACTCTTTTTTTTTTTTCTTCTCTATTCCTGCATTTTAAATGGAAATAAGGATGATGAAACAGGCATCTATCCATATAACGCATAATCTGGTTCAATCTATTTGATTTAAAATGTTTGAAATATTTTCCTGTAACAGTTACTTCTTGCCAGATGAAAGTAGCAACAATAAGATATAGATTCTAACCTGGTAAAGGCTGATGCATTGGGATGCCAGAGAGTAGGCCTTTCTTGACTAACATGATTCCCAAGAAGATCAGTACTAGACCTCAAGGAAAGATCCAATCCTGGATGAGAATCAAACCTGTTTGTGCCATTAACTGAAGAAGATCTTTTATTACTAAATGTTCCCATGAAATCAATGGCTTCCCTGGAAGAAGAAGCAATGGCATCACAAGCCTCTGAAGAAACAATAGCATCCATTCTTTGTCTTTCTGCTACCAAAACACCCTCAGATGTGTTTATTGTGCAAGCATTGTCATGAGAGCCCACAAACAATCCTAATAAAATGGAGATATTGGAAGAAGTTAGATGCTATCTCTCTGACTAAAAAAGATGATGTCAACTTTAGGATTTAGAATTCTACCTCCAGTTTCACTCTCATGTGTGTGCAGTTTCTGGCTGAAATTGGCATAAGCTTCATGTTTCTCTGATGCAATTGTTGAGGATTTTTCCCCCATCAACAAAGAAAGTCCCTGCATATTTTCCAGATGTGCACTTGTAGCTTGCAAGTCTGGCTTTGTACAAGAACTCTGCAACAGACAACAAACATGCAGTCTCTATATAAAACTTCATGTAGCCAACCTAAACTCAAAGAAAATTCCTATACCATAAGAGACCTCAATAACTCATGCACGCCAGGAATAACAATTCACCAATGTTCCTAAAAGCATTACTGGATACTCCATTAGAGATCTAAATTTACTATAGGTTTGTCAGAAAGCAACTTGAACAAGAAACTAATTAGTAATAAATTTCCACACATTTTAACAAGTTGTTTATTTTTCAAGCCATACAGTTAATTTTAACACTTGATTCAGGGAATAATGGGCAAAAGGCACTGGAAAAATGAACTTTCTCTTGTAACTCATTGTCAAAGTATCATACTTATTTTTATTACTACATTTGTATGTTTCAGTCTGCATCAGGACATGCATATCTTTCTGATGGATTTAGGCTAAAATTTTTCTTTCAAATGTTCAAAAGCCTTCAACAACAATACCAACGGAAAGAACTTCTTAATCAGTTACTACACTTAAAATAACATGTTACTGTCAAATACGCTCACTAATTGGCGCATAGGAGTTTACATCACATTTAAGGGGCACTAACCTGAGCATCACTTCCTTTATCAACGGGTTCATCATCTCTTTGGACACAAGCCATGTCACCACTTGCTTGATTGCTTTCAGCATCATTTTCAGCAGTCACTTCAACCTTTTCCTGTCCAACACTCTCATCTTGCAGGGTGTTTCCACTGATAATTGACTGATTAAGCACAGAACAAACTCAGTGAATTATACCTTTTAAGGATAGGTAATAGGGCTAAATAAAATCTAGGAAGTAGTAGGCTTACAGATTGTCTTCTCCACACATGCTGCCACAAATTTCTCAGCTCATTTCTCCTGATAGGCTTAACAAGATAGTCAGCAGCACCTCTCATCATACATTTATATACTGTACTAATTGAATCTTGAGAGGACATCACTGCATTTTAAAAAAAAAAGCATTTAATTACTCTGTCATTATAACATAGAAGCAGCTATACCATGCTGAGATCTTCAAATCATACTTATAACAGGAATGTTTTTGCAAATCTCATGCTCCATAATTAGCGTAAGAAGAGCATATCCCGATATTGATGGCAAATCCACTTCCGTGAGTATGAGATCAATGTTATGTGCTTTGTCTTTCAGTATCTCCCATGCCTTCAGACCATCAGCAATAGCAGCAACTGCTCAAAGAGGGAAAATAGAAAAATTTTTATTTCAGTTGAAAAAAGGAAAAATAATCTTTGACGGATCTTTATATCAAATTTCATGCTTAAAGCAAGTAAATAGCTCCGATGACCATTACAAGACATTCTTTGTCATTCACACACTAAAGTGTATAATTCAATTAAAAATTAAAATTCAAAGAAAGATGATGAGTGCTTAACCATGCAAGATTCTAACCAAAACAAGGTACCGTGCAAGAACACTAGATCAACACTCCTATTCTTACCTTCTTAAGCCTTTAGCCATTACTTTATATATGTTATGTGTTTTAACAAGTCTATTATCATTTTCTTTCTTTCTTTTTTATTTTTTTTATTTTTTTTATTGCAATTTTGGAAAGGGAACTTTAAAATAGAAAGTAAGCAAATACAATATTTTCTGATGGATTATAAGAGCTTAATTTACATTAGCCATCAAATCAGACCAAGAAGTTCCAAAAGCAGAAAATTTTACAAAGCTGAAACAACCTAACCAGAAGAACCTTTCTTTAAAAAAAAGAAAAAAAGAGAGAGCTTCTGATGTAGTTGATTAAAAAGAGCAAGATAAATTTTAAATAACTAAACAAAATTCCACTTCTCAGCATTATGTAGCTATTAAGAAGCTCGACCTTCACTAACAGATTATCAGAAGTTCATAACTGATACCAACCTCAACCCGAAAGCCATAGAAAACAGAACTCCCAAAAATGGATTATCGCTTAAAACTATAATTAGACATTGAATTCCAGAATCTTCTAGCCAAAAAAAAAAAAAACAGAGAGAGAGAATTCTAGAATCCTACTCTAGTGTTTGGTGAACAAAAGCAAGAAATGCAAGAAATGAACAATTTCCTTGCGAAACCCGCAACTTAGCTCGGAAAACCCAAGAAACTCACTTCAATTCGGAAGTGAAACTATAGAGAAAAGAACACCATGACTCCATCCAAGCAAGTTAAAAGAAGGGAAGGAAGAAGAAACAGACCTCTGTAACTGCATTTTCTGAGCAGAGCAGCTATAATCTGCCGAGTGGAATCATCCGCTTCCACCAACATCACCCTCAAGGCCATCCTCGGCAAGAACCTCTCCCATCTCATCATCCCTTTAGAAGAATTCCCCTCCTTCCTGCTCTCCATCACCTCCGCCTTCTCCGCTGTTTCGCTTTCCGTTTTCACCTCCTCCACGTCCTCGCTGCTAACCACCACTTCTCCCATCACCGGACGCCTCCGCTTCACCAGAGCCAAACACTTGGATACTTTCTGGTGGAACACAGAGACAAAAACCGAAAAATCTATCTCATCCTCTGCTAAACTCCTCCAATTAAAATATCTGAATTAGGCGGCAATTCAATGGTCCAGATCTAAAGTCCACTCCCAACCGACTCCAATCCAACAGCCCTGTGCAACCCGTGAAAAATATCTCCAACTCTCTCCTCTATGGCCCACGTGTTCCACGTCAGCCACGAAGTGTGGGTCCCAAAGGCGCAGACTTTGGTACTCCCTCTGTGGTGCAAATTTAAGGGTCGGGAGGAAAAGGTTTTGGCTTCCTTTCCTTCAACAAATTGCCATTTGGATATTTTCTACGTGGGGTCCGCCAGGAAAGGATATAATATTAGCACTTGGAGGAGATATTTTTTCAGTAAAGATATAATTATAATGTTATGTATAATTATAAATTTATAATTTTAACATTATATTAAATAAATATGATATTTTTTAAATTAATAAATATATATAATATTATAAATAAAATTTAAATAAAATAAATTATATAATAATATATTATATTATAAATTTACAATATTTTTGATATTTTTTGTGAAGGGATGGAGGATACGTTGGACACGTGGCCACGTGTTGGGGAATGACTGGGGTTTTGTGGCTGCGAACTTATCAGGAGGTGCTCTCTTTTTATTTGTGGTGATTCAGTTGTCATACGCGCTAGGATTGGTAGCGATAAACCACGCGCTCCTGTATTGGCTGGGCGGAAGATTATTTCCTTTTTTTTTCAATTTTTAATTACATTAATATTGGCTGATGTGACAGCGCTGGTGCTTTACATTCCATGTGCGGGTGGTGGTTTTGGAATTCTGGGGGGTGCGAGTGGGGCGAAGAAGATGGTGCCTTTTATTCTGTCATTTGGTCGTGGAGGGGATTGGGTTGAGGAGGATATTTTTCGAACAAAATCACAGATACAATAGTATTCATATTCCTTTCAAGCCATGCTGGCATGTAAATCTTTTTCTTTTGTTTCGTATATCTTTTTCTTTCATAGGAGGACTATAGATTGAGGTAGGGCTTGAGCAAGGTGAGATATTTCTAACAAATGTGATGTACTGCTTGTTTAGTACAGCTTTTCAAAATATCTATTAAAAAAAAAAGGGTTAAAACCGAGTTGTGCTCTTTCTTTTGCAGGTTGAGTGGATTGGAGCTTTGATGCTACTTTAAAAGGTTAATTGTAACGAGTATTGAGTTTGCTTGTAAGAACTTTATTGCTATGGCTATAGTGGCATGAGATGTTTGTGCACTAAGGGTGGTGTGGTTATTAAGCAATTGCAACTATGGAAGACAAACATGAGTAGTCTATTGTATTAATTACGGCGATGTACAACCTTGTCAAGCGTAAAATACAAGTCTTATAATGCATTTTTAAACTAGACTTTTTGCATGTACATTACTTGTGCATTGTATATGGTATAAATATTTATTTGATTTTGTTAACAACTTAAATAATTTAATAATAAATTTTTTAATAAAAATAATATATTTTAAATTCAAATAATATGATATATCAATGAAATAAGAGAGATTTATCTTTTATTATAAAAAAAAAACTATTTGATTCATTAGAATTGTATTAGGTACTAAACTCTAAAATGACATAAGTTCTTTTTTTCTATCATTCAAATTATATCAATCAAATTGTAAAAATAAAACTCTTGCATGGGGGAGATTAACCCTACATTAAAGGGTCCACTACCTATTAAAAGGTTAATTTAGTGCAATTTAACACAATATAGATTGCACTAAACATTTATAAAATAACATAGTTTTAGACTCTTTATTACAGTCATTGCATTTATTATATACATCGATAGATTGATTAGGCACATATCAATGAATTCTTTTGACATCCTTCATAAGAGAATATATATGCAATGAAGGATATTTTCATTATGTGCAGTACATGCAATTTAAGTTTATATGAAGTATGTCTTGCCCTAATAATATTTAATTACACAATTATAGAATCAGTAAGCAATCCTGTTGAGTGATCATTGGAAGAATCGATTCATCAGCGATTTTTGTACAGTGATTGAATCCATAGTATTGCCGCAATATTCATAATAAGAGATTTGAATTTGGTCTTTGTAGAATATTAGTTGTCTGTTGTAATTTCTCCCACGTTAGCGGGATCTTACAAGTAGACATTTAGATTTGTTACGTTAATACTATTTTAAATTATTATGTAAAACACCAACGATTTAAGTAATTTTTATTTTTTTTTATTGAAAATAAGAGATTTTAAATTTGAGTTATATGATATATGAGTAAAATTAAATAAAATAATAAAAAATAATTATCTTTTATTATATAATTAAAATAAAAAAATATTATTTAAAACAGTTCTTGATCATTTATGAAATAGGTGAAGTTGGAAAAAGTTTTTGGAGGAACAGTATTAAAAAAAATTGTGTATAATTTAAATTGAATCATACCATATCGTGAAAAATATAAAAGTATTTTCAATGTTTGTTTTGGATGCGGGCCAACGATCACATCCAGTGATGTAATTGGCCATCGCCTATTTAAGTAAGAGCAATGCTAGGGGCACTCGCCTCCTGCACTCTCCGGCCAACACTTTCCCTTTTATTGGGCCACGTTGTTTTGGTTCCGAAGAGGTTGCGCCTGAAAGGTTTAGGGAAGCTTACGTGGCCCAATGAAAGGGAAAGTGTTGGCCGGAGAGTGTAAAAAGCGAGTGCCCGTAGCACTGCTCTTTAAGTAAATATCGACAGTGCCAAGGAATGTGATTATGTGAACGTGATGCCAGAAACCATCTTTTGTAGAGCCAACCATTTTTTTTTTTTCTAATTTTTTGTATTTAAAATTATATTAAATTTTAATTAATTTAAAATTAAATCATATTAAATCTTATAAAAAAATTTTAATACTTAATTTTTATTTATAAAAATTAAATTCAAAATATTATTTTAAAAAATCAATTTTTTTTTTTTTTTATAATTTAAACTAATATGTGATTGGTAACTCTACTCTTTTTGCTTGCAGGATTTTTCATGTGGGGCTGAAAGTAAATCTGAACCATCAGAGTCATATCCTAGGTGTGCTTTGGTCGAGATGCTAGCCATCCGATGAATTCTCGTACGGTTTCCTTGGTTGGGAATCGGATGGCACTTGACAAACAAGTTGTATTGGAGATAATGTCAAAAGTAGATTCCCATTGGCACTAGGGCAAATAATACTAGAAGTAATCATTAAGGCACGTAGAAAGGATAATAATAAAAAGTTTATTTTAATATTATCTTATTATAATTAATATTATTTTATATAAATTTTTATTTTTATATATTTAATCTATAAATAAAAGATTAAATCTCTATTTTAATCCTTCTACTTTGATAAAAAATCACTTTTTAATCCTTTTACTTAAAAAATATCTTTTTTTATTTTTAAAATTTGAAATTTGACTCTTTTTTAGTCTCTTTATTAAGTTTTACATATATGACATGTTTAATTATAGAAATTTCAAAGTGGAAGGACAAAAAAAAAACTAAAAAAGGGTGAAAAGTAGCCTAATTTGGTTCCTCAACTTTAGGAAAAAAGTCCTTTTTTTATCATTTTTTTCTAAATTTCTCATCATCTAATATCAAAACTTAACAAAAGAACTAAAAAAATATTAGATTTCAAAACTTTATGAACTAAAAAGGGTACTTTATTAAGTAGAGGGATTAAAAAAAACTTTTAATCAAATTAAAAGGACCCAATTGAGGTTTTGTCTAACTTATACTTTTTAGAGTATAGGTTAAGACTCATTAATTAAAATGTTTTTAATTAATTTTACATAAATTTTCATATCAAATTTATAATTTTTTATAGATTTTGAGATAAAATATTATATTATATTTTATTTGAATATTATATAAAAATTTATGTAAAATTAATTACAAATATTGTAATAAATCACACTTAACTTATATTTTTTAACACACATGTTAGAAAACCTCATAAAATAATTAATAGAATCGACTCTCTATTGTATATATTTAAATAAATTTTTTTAAATTACTATAATATTAATTTTCTAACTTACATTTTATATATTTAAAACAAAAAAATTTTAATTGAAACTAAAAAATAAAAAAGTCAGTCGTTAGATAAAAAAACTGCATTGAGAGTTTGATGCAAAGCATTGTAAATCAAAACCTGACACATGTCAAGCAGGGCAATTTCTTTTACACTGGAAAGGGCAAAAATGGGTGTCGATTTTGCCTATTCTGAGCCCAAAAGAAAATAGACTTGATGTCTCTATACAGAGACTAAAGAGAGACCACTCTTTTTAGAGAAATGCTGCAATAAGAAGAGAGTTGTTGCTTTATACTAGCTTCTTTTGAAGAGAGCATGAGAGCAAATTCCCATTGAATATGCTCTAAAAGGATGACTATAAGTTAATTAAAAAACCCAAACCTTTTTCTCGTAAAAGGGTGACTATGTGAAAGTTTGCACTGAGATTTAGAAGACCATCTTTCTTCCTCCTCTCTACTGCGTTGACAACAGTAACTTGATTGGCATTGCCATTACTTTGCACAAGTATTTCCACATCCGATGTCCGATGAGTTTTAGCCCCATTACATAGGAATTAATTAGTGGTAGGAGCGAGATATGTCCTCTCTCTTCATGAATATGTTTAATTTTTAAAAAAAAAAATAAAGGGAAAAAAAGAGATATTTTTTTAGTTAATTAAAATTATAATATTATAATTTAATTAATGAAAAAATGTCTCTTATCTATTTCCCTTAAACAAGACAGACCCTGAAAGAATCCAATCTTCTCAACAAACTTTTCTACTTACTCTTTTTTCCCCTAAAACATTATAATCCATTATTTATCAAAATGCTTGCATATAATTTTAACAAAATAATCAATTATATTGAAAAGAAATTTCATTTTTCCAAACATAAACTTCTTATTTCCTTTGGCAAAATTTTTTAAACTTCTTATTTCCTTTGGAAAATTTTTTTTCTCTGCAAAATTTTTTCAGCTAGCAAAAATTTCTCCTAACAAATATTTCCGACCTAATGTTGTGCAAACAATTTCCGATAGGCCATGCATACCAACCTTGAATGTAATGCTTTACTCAGCACTTTTTTTTTTTTTTTTTGGTACATGGGGAATCATTAGGGAATGGAGATATTTTTTAAATAATTAGTAAGAGTCAAATTATCAACTAATTTAACCCAAGCACTAAACCTTAGGAGCGAACCATTAAATTTGAAGGTCAGTCGTGTGCTTATACAATTAGTTAGACCACACTTATAAACAAAGTGGTCTGCATGTGTGCCTATATAATTTTTTTTTTTTTTTTGTACATGGGGAATCATTAAGGAATAAAAATATTTTTTAAGTAGTTGATAGGAGTTAAATTTTTGACTAACTGACTTCAAATACTAAAATTTATAAGAAAACCATCAGACTCGAAAGGTCAGTTCATGTACCTATACAATTAGGCAGACCAAAAGTCTAAATACTTATATACATTTCCCACCTAATAGCCTAACTGTAACAGATCCATAACATCAAAAAAAAAAAAAAAAGGAAAAACTATACAGATCCATAATACACAACCAGGTTGGTCTGGCCGGACTCGAAACAAGGGAAAAGACAGGAGGGCCTAGAGCTTGAGGCCATCCAACATTCTTTGAATTCAGCCCAATTTAATTCGAGTCATTGCCAAAAAAATGAATTCGAGCGGGTCCCATACAATAATTATCCATTACACGTATATACTGTGAATCTGCATGCGAATAGACAAATTGAAAATGATATGGGAGTAGTTATAATGTTATCATCCATGTTAACTTTACGATATAATGTATTTTTAGATAATTAATTTTTATTTAGAGATTTAATCATATAATACATAAATTTATT